CAGCCGCCTCCGATAAATCGCCGGAATCCAGGAGCGCTGCTCCCTCCTTCCCCACAAGCTAGGGCCGCTGCCCTCGTTATTAGGGCCGCCACCGCCGTTGCCGCCCTGGGCCGAGCCCAACATCGCGCCCTCCCGCCAGCCGATTGAAGTAATCACCGCGATACAGAAGCGCTGCTCCCTCCGTCTCCACAAGCTAGGGCCGCTACCGCCACTTTCGGTATTGGGATCGCTCCATCGTTACCGCCCCCGGAGCCAAAGCTAGTTACCCGTCATCGCTATTAGGGCCGTTGCTGCCACTCGTCGCAGGCCAGGACCGCTATCACCGTCGCCGTAGAGTATCAACGTCGTTCTCATTGCCGCTACGCTCACCGGCATCACCGTCGTCACCGAGTACCACCGTCGTTCGCATTGCCGTGGCGCTCACCGTCGTTACCGAGTGCTGCCACTCTCACCGTTGCCGATCCATAGCCGTTGTTATTCTCACCGCTACCGACCTGTAGCCGTTGTTATTCCCTCCGTTACCGGCCCATAGCCGCTGTTACCCTCCCTCTCTCTCACTTCTTGGACGAAAGGTTGCGGGCGCTCTGGCCATATCTCGCCTCGTGTGTGTGAGTGTGTTCTCCGTATTACACTAACTATTGTATTCTATTTGGTGGGGGTTATTGGGACCTCGATTGTACCCTGGGTCGGCTGAGCGTACCTCAGCCTTCGACAAAACCCACCCCATAAATGGCGCCCGAGCAGGGACCCAGCTCTGCAGGCGCATGTTCCAAAACTTCAACAAGCATCGAAGCGGGTTCACCGAACACACCACAACCAACAACTGATACACGGATGAGCGAAAACAACACCACGACGCTGAACGTCGACTCGCTGGGCTGGATATATCTTCTCAAGAAAGACAGGTTAATTGAAGAGTGCAGACAACACCAGTTACCAGTGGAAGGAAGTTCTGTCGCTGAGCTACGCAGCGCTCTGAGCAACTTCGTCAGAGCAAAGAGAACCAGGAAGTCGACCAAAAATCTCCTCAGCGAGCTGGAAATGGAGATCGCAGCCGAGGAGGCCAGCATAGCAAAATCGCTACCCGAATCACACCCAGCCATCAAACTGGGGTAATCCTTTCTACACCCTGAAGGAGCGAAACCGGCAGTCCACAAACGGGACAGCATGAGCAACGCCGAAGTGATGAGCACCGTCCGTCGTTGGGACGTACACTACTCCGGCGGCGACACCCTGCACGACTTCCTGGACAGGATTGAGGAGTTGGCGGAATGCTACCAGATAGTGCCAGAGAAACTCTTCCCAACTCTCCCCGAAGTTCTACGAGGCAAGGCACTCCAGTGGTTCCGCGTCCGGAGGCAGCAGATGACCACTTGGGCCAGATTCCGTACCGAGGCAGAAAGATTTTTCCTGCCTAAGCGGCATGTAAACCAGGTGGAAGACACCATTCGCCAGCGCAAACAGCTGCATAGGGAAAAGGTCAAGGACTACATCCGCGCCCTCCAGACACTCATCCGGCAACACCCAACGATGTGCAACGAGGACCATCTGGAGCGCATTTACGATGGCCTGCGCGTCGAGTACCGACTCTTCGTGAAGCGTAGCGAATTCCACACCATCGAGGAGCTGATGGAGCTCACCGATGAGTATGAATTACTGAAGAACGAGGAATCCAGGCAGAATCGACAGGCGGAGCATAGCTTATACACCGTAGATGGCCAGTATGATTGGAGAAACATCTGCTGGCGATGTAAGAAGCGCGGACATACACGCTTCCATTGTATCAGCGCGCGGCGGCTATTCTGTTCACGATGCGGACAGGATGGGATCTTCTCGAGGGTTTGCCGCTGTCGCAAGTCAACATCAGCAGCGCCGACGGCTACAACTTCACACACCACCCTAGCTACATCACTGCAATTTGAGAGGCGACACATCGACGGCCGCCTCTACGCCGACGTCACCATCGAAGGCCTGAAGTTACAGGCGTTGGTAGACACAGGAGTCACGCTGACGTACGTCGACGAGAGCACGCGCGCGCATTTGGAACGGCGCGACATCCGGCCCGTGCCCAATCAGCAGGACGTACAACTCGCGGATTACCCTGTCAGGATTGAATATAATGGTCGGTTCACTCACACATCGGTAGCAGTGATTAACAACCTCGCGGAGCGGATAATATTAGGAATGGACTTCCTAGTAAAACGAGGCATTGTCATCACAGTGGATGGCCAGCCGCTGGCTCCCGCTACTCCACCAAAGGTAGGGGCGACACCCGCTCTGTGCGGCCTAGCGGAGAGAGCGCACCTCAACGAGAAGCAGAACCAGGAGCTAGCAGATTTGCTGGAGCACCGCAAGACCATATCTTTAAAACGCACTGGACCGAGCACAGCCGCAAGGCACATAATCACGCTACGGCACCACCAGCCGCTGAAACAACGTTATTGCCCGCGCAACGCCGCTATGCAGCTGGCAATAAATAACGAAGTAGATGAATTACTCGCCGATAGAAGGATTTGGCCATCTAAGAGCACCTACAGCGCAAGCAGAATGGCAACGCGAAAACGCAACAAGCGACAACCAGCGCCGCCAGACGAACCGCGGCCAATATCCTCATGGCGACCACCCCTTGATGCCACACCATGGCCCCGCAACAAACCACGTATACTGAGCATTAAAATATTCCGCGGTCCGCCGCACCAATTATTCGCAATGACGTGGAACTCCGCTGTCGCTAACACCACAACCGTTGACACCCACAACTTCAGCGGGAAGCTGCAACCGACGCAACCCAAGATACCGCAAACGAAAGCACAGATACGCGACTCACAACCAACCATGAAGGCCCACCAGTTGCGGCGACAATAGCCAAAAGGGAGGGTGTACTCCAAGGCCTCACCGTTAAGCACCCACAAGGAAACTCGCGACGTTGGTGCTTCCCCTGGAAAGGGCAACGCGCCCGCGCGACCAGAAAAGGCCCGGACCATGCTGTAGTCCAATTCCAGAGTCAAAGCAAGCTGTTCAAGTTTGAGAAGTAGAGGCCACCCCCGGTGTAATGGAGCGAACGAAGTTCTCAGCTACCTCGTCATGGCCTTAGGATGGCAACCATCACGTGATACTCAACCATCCCTGCAAAAAATTGTGCGACTAATCTCTAAAGAGAGTATTCCGAGATTACTCTCAATCGGGTACAATAGGGCATTATTTAGTCGCAACTAGTCTCATCCGGGTACTATTGGGGATCAATTAGTCTCGACTCATCCCTTATGGGTATAATTGGAGATCAATTAGTCCCCAACTCATCTCTAACAGGTACTATTAACGATTTAATGATATGTACGCACTTAGTCAATGAAATTTCATGTGCGGCGTTGGCTAACAAAACTGAGCACCCCGGTTCGAATCTCAGCTGGCGCAAATTTTTATTTTTATTTTTTAAAAGTGACTAGGCGCCTTTTATACCCGTTCGGGTATAAAGGTGAACAATTAGTCTCTTCATAGGACATGCTCGAACAAAAGCGAACAGTTCATTCCATATAAAGAGATCAAAAGTGGTATTAGTCGCATGCTCCTTTGCGATTGCTCCCGGAGTCATCCCGGATTAGTCCCATTTTTTGCAGGGATATTACAATTACATATACAACCATCTTTCTCTTGTTATTATACTACTATATTATTGTAAAAAAAAAATTCTTTTGTTATTATACTGTTATATTATTGTCAAAGAAAAAAATTTCTTTTGTTATTATACTGTTAAATTATTGTCAAAAAAAAACCCTAGGCTTAAGAAAAATTTGCGCTGTATTATACAAAAAAAAATAAAAATTTATAATAATATATACATATATAAAAAGAAGAATCCCTTAGACATTAGAACTTGCTGTACAAAGGAAATATAAATAACAAATAATACCTTAATAAAGAGAACCACGAACATACACCGGCCGAGCCACCGTTCCGTACGACGGTAAAATTTACCTAGGCTTTGCCTAAGGTAGTGCAGGCCTCCAGGCCAAAACTCCAGAATACTGTGACCTTTCGTCCACCGAGGTGGGAGGGGGACTGTAACGTAGCATTCACTACGCTACAATATTTGCAGCCACAACCTACCACAAATCTATCCTACGTTGTAAATATGTACCCTGCAAAAAATTTTACTAATCCGGGATGACTCCGGGAGCAATCGCAAAGGAACATGCGACTAATACCACTTTTGATCTCTTTATATGGAATGAACTGATCGCTTTTGTTCGAGCATGTCCTATGAAGAGACTAATTGTTCC